CGCAGGCTCGCTGCCAGACTAGAGGTGGGGGCCTGGTGCCTGCTTTCATCCAGCTGTCAGGACGCCGTGGCGGCTGTGCAGGGGAGGCAGGGCACTGGCAAGGCCTCGGGGGCAGCTAGCAAGTGGGAGCAGAGGGCAGAGGCATAGGACTGTGGGCATAGAAGCCCAGCTGGTCCTAGGGAGTCTGAATGGAGGGGGACCACTGACCCAGAAGCTCCTGCAGGAATAAGGGATGTGTCCGCCCAAGCCCAGCTGGCATCATTACAGCCCACCAACCCAAGCCCAGCTGGCATCATTACAGCCCACCAACCCAAGCCCAGCTGGCATCATTACAGCCCACCAACTTTTTTTTTTTATTTCGGTCATGGGGCTTTTGAACTCGGCTTAGGCGCTGTTCCTGAGCTCTTCAGGGAGCCAGCCACAGCACCACTTCCGGTTTTTTGGTGGTTTATTGTAGATAAGAGTCTCACGAACTTTCCTGCCCAGGCTGGTTTTGAATCGTGATCCTCAGATCTCAGCCTCCTGAGTAGCTAGGATGACAGGTGTGAGCCACCAGCACCTGGCTCCAGGCCGCCAACTTTTGACCTGTGGGCTTTCAGCCTCTACTTGAGCCGTGCCAGGGACAGCCTGGCTTGCCCGCATGCCAGCTCCCTGGTGGTCCCGTCCACACTCTCACCCAGGCCCAGCACCTGTTCAGGAGCATGATGAGTGTTTACTGAGAAGTAAATGGGGAGAAACTAAGGCACGGGTGAGGGCCCCAGGCAGCAAGGCTCACCTTCACCTCCTGAATCATCTTCGCCACCTCCACCTTGGTCTTCCCCTTGATTGACCTGCCATTGACGCCAGTGATCTCATCGCCGGCGGCCACGGTGCCATCTAGGGCTGCAGGCGTGTTATCAAATACCTATGGTGAGCAGGAGGTGGGGGACAGAGACACCTGAGGAGAGGCCTCGCGCCACCCTGCCATCTTCCTCTCCCCACTGCTGCTGGCTTCTAGGAAAGCCAGCGAGGGCAAGGGGAAAACTGCGGCAGAAATAAATGACCCAACTTCTTGCGGGAGAGGAAGGAGGACAGGAGGGAAGTTCCAACTCATGAAACCTCCCTCTTCTAGTAGCACACACTCCAGCCCTCACTCACACACCCATCTGAGCAGCTGGTCCTCCAATGCCTTGGTTTCTCTCTTTGGCAGTGCCAAAGAAAATCCAGTGCCTTGGGCTTACTAGGCAGGTAATCGATGTTAGTATTATCCCCGTCTCTGGCCCTCAGCTCCTCCCTGCCACAAGAGTTCCCGCCATACAGCTGGCCACTCCCTCACTCCTCCTCCCCTCCCCAGCCCCCCCCAACCCCAAGCTACCTAAACACAACACTTGCTCCAGAGTTACCCACCTGGATGGGAGCAGACGCCATTTGCTCCCTCTCCAGGGGGAGATATGGCCCTCTAACAAACCTTCTATAATCTTCGTGCCTGCTTGCCTCTGCATGGTCCCCAGGGATGGTCTGATGGATCCTAACACTCTACCTCTTGAGCCGTGCCCCAGTCCTTTTGCTTTTAGTTTGTCCGATTGGGTCCCAGGCATTTTTTTTTTTTTTGCCAGTCCTGGGGCTTGAAATCAGGCCCTGGGCACTGTCCCTGAGCTTCTTTTGCTCAAGGCTAGCACTCTATCACTTCCACCCTTTTCTGTTTATGTGGTACTAAGGAATTGAACCCAGGGCTTCCTGAATGCTAGGCCAGCACTCTACCACTAAGTCACATAGATCTCAGGCTTTTATCTGGGCTGCCCTTGGACCTGAGTTCTTCAACCTTTGTTTTCCCAAGAAGCTGGAATTTCAGGCATGCACACCACACTCATGCAGCTTCAATATGATTTCTTCAAGTTTTCCCAATAATGATGCTCTAAGCTGCCTCAATACCCCAATACAGTTCTCACTTTAGTCCTCAAAGAACCACCCAAAGCTGCCCTGAGCAAGGGCCCACTATCTTGGTGAGCCCTTTTCTCAAGATGACCCCTTCAGTAGGACGTGCACTCACAGGCTCTCAGAATGTGTGTCCATCAAAGATCAAATGTGTGAGCAATACAAGGGCAAAGCAGCCCCCACCTCCAGCACATGGACAGACTGGACCCAAAACTGGACCCAAGAAGCAGCAGCTAGGAGCAGGATCATTAGCAGCTCTCACACCACTCCTCGGCAGCACCGTTAGTCCCTAAAGTCTTATAAGAAAGCATCAAAAGGGCCCTTCACGATGTTTACTTCCAGTGCTACAAATAATGAGATAATATGTTTCTTTCTACCACCTTCCAGAATTACGGTGAAAATACCACAGTGGCAGTAAAAGATGAGCATGGTGAAGCCACAGGGCTGCGTGTGCAGCGCAGTGAGGGACATTTGCCTAGCATCCACAAGGCCCAGGCGCCGCCTGGCACCACCTAAAGAGAACAGCCACAAGGCACTGTTAAGCAAAGCAGTAAATAATGGGAGGTGGCAGGAGTGGCTAATATGGACTGTGACCTTAGCTGGAAGGAGAAGCAGCAGGTAGTGGAGTGCACCTCTGGGTGTTTCTTTTGTTGTATTTGTTGGTCATGGGACCTGAACCCTGGGCCTGGGCGCTGTCCCTGAGATCTTCAGTTCAAGGCCAGCGCTCTACTTGAGCCACAGCGTCACTTCTGCTTTCCTGATGGCTTATTGGAGATAAGTTTCACGGACTTTCCTGCTCAGGCTGGCTTTGAACCACGATCCTCAGATCTCAGCCTCCTGAGTAGCTAGGATTGCAGGTGTGAGCACCTCTGGGTGCGTCTGCGAGGGGTTTCTGGAGGTTTCGCTGAGGGGGAAGGCCACTGCAAATGTGGGCAGCATGGCCCACAGGCGGAAGGAGGATGCAGCACCACAGCCTCCCTCTCTGCTTCCCGCGGCCATGACACCCGCTGCACCCCACGTTCTCTAACTCTGAACACGGCCAGTTGCTCTCTGTGGACATTTTTCCACCGCCATGAAAAGTCTGACCAACACAGAAATTGGTACCAGAGAAGAGGTAAGTGTTTTGTTTTTTTTTTTGTTTTTTGGTTGGTCGTGGGGCCTGAACTCTGGGCCTGGGTGCTGTCCCTCAGCGCTTCAGCTCAAGGCTAGCACTCTACCAGTTGAACCACAACACCACTTCCACCTTTTTCTGCTTATGTGGTGCTGAGGAATCGAACCCAGGGCCTCATGCGTGCAAAGCAAGCACTCTACCACTGAGCCACCTTCCCAGCCCCAGGTAAGTGGTTCTTAAGCCTTTGGAGTTAGTTTGTGAAAGGAATCTAGAAGAGGTAGGAGATGCAAGCTAGAATTCTAGAATGCTGTAAGCCCACCACAGATGTTTCTGGGGAAAACTCAACTGAAAACAACAACGGGAATGGAGACAGCCCAGACTGTGCTCACGAGGTTTCAGGCAATGGGGACTCTGCTGGGAACGGGCTAGTGGCCATCTCTGTTACAGTCCAGAAGATTTAACTGCCTTTTGTCTGTGCCTTGAGACTCTGTGGGAGGCTGATGTAGTGGAGGACATCTGAAGAAATTTCAACCCAGCTTCCAGACTGTGGCATGGGTACTGCTGTGTGCTTTCTAGTCAAGTCCACAGTAGGAGTGGTGAAAAAGAGCAGAGCAGGAAGGTTCGAACCTGCAGTTTTCTTATAACAGTTTGGGCGAGTATGGCTGCTGAGGACATTCAGATCATTAAAACGAAGCCAAGTACTTAGCATTAGGACATGGGAAAGAGGCCTTGAGGAACTGGCCAGACCCCGCCCATGGCAGGGCACATAGGTTCTAATTCATTTGAAAGGCAACTTTAGAAGGAAGCTCTGTCCTGTCACGTGGGTATGGGACCACTGAGTGCACACAAGGCTGGCTTGCTGGCATACAGAAGGCATAGCGGGCACTCTAGTGGCAGAGTCCGTCAGTGTGCAGAGCTTCCACAGGTGCAGTAGTGCTGGGCTGTGCTGGCTTCCACCCAAACGTCAAAGCAAAGGCTAGAAGGCCAGGGCACAAGTGGTAGGGCCAGGACCCCTGCAGGCAGCCCAAGAGGGGATGCATGCAGCTAAAGATCCAGGAGGCTAGAGAAGGAACATGGAATGTCTGCCAAAGAAAGGCATGGACAGTGAGCAGAGCCAGGCCACAGAAAGGCCACGTGTGCCACAAACAGCAAGGCCCCAGGGCCTTCCTCCTTCTAACTGTTCTCTGGGAGTTGGTAACAGAAATGAAAAAGTAACTAAGACAACATCCCATGTTGGTGAACCAGAAGACTTAACCCAGATTCCATGCAATCATGGTCTACAGATTCCATGCAATCACAGTCAGAATCCCAATGACACTTCTCAGAGATACAGAAAATTTTAAAATAAAAATCTAAATTCAAAGCTGGACACCGGTGGCTCACACCTGTAATCCTAGCTACTCAGGAGACTGAGATCTGAGGATCACGGTTTGAAGCAAGCCTGGGCAGGAAAGTCCGTGAGAATCTTATCTCCAATTAACCACCAGAAAACCAGAAGTGGCACTATGGTTCAAGTAGTAGAGTACTCACCTTGAGCTAAAGAGCTCAGGGACAGTGCTCAGGCCCAGAGTTCCAGCCCCACAACCACCAAAAAAAAAAAAAGATTAAATTCAGCAGGGTGCCAGTGACTCATGCCTATAATCTTAGCTACTCAGGAGGCTAAGATCTGAGGATCACAGTTCAAAGCCAGCCCAGGCAGGAAAGTCAGTGAGACTCTTATCTCCAATAAACCACTAGAAAACTGGAAGTGGCGCTGTGGCTCAAGCAGTAGAGAACTCACCTTGAGCTGAAAAGCACAGGGACAGCACCCAAGCCCAGAGTTCAAGCCCCACGACCGACAAAAAAAAAGTATCTAAATTCTAAATCTTAAAATTCACATGGAATCTCAAGGCCTTGAACAGCCAAAATAATCTCCAAACAAATGAAGTGTGCAGACTCACACATCCTGATCTCAAACCTTCCTACAAAGCTACAGTGCTCAAAACACTATGGTACCACCACTACAGAGGGGCCCCAGAATAAACCCTGGCCAAACTATGCACGTGTGGAGACATTGTACACACATGTGGAAACATCATCATGAAACAACCGTACAACTAATGTATACTGATTAAAAAGTAAAACAACTCGGGGCTGGAAAGGTGGCTCAGTGGGAGAGAGCTTGTCTTGCATGCATGAGGCCCTGCATTTGATTACTCAGTACTACATAAGCAGAAAAAGCCAGAAGTGATGCTTGGCTCAAGTAGTAGAGTGCTAGCCTTGAGCTGAAGAGCTTAGGGACAGCGCCCAGGCCCAGAGTTCAGACCTGATGACCAACCAAAAAAAAAAAAAAAGAAAGAAAGAAAGAAAAAGTAAAACAACCATTTCAAACAGAATTTAACCAATCTTCTGCTTCTTATTTTCCTAATGAAGCTATAAATTATGTATATATAGCTATATCAAAATAATATAGTGAGAGCCGGGCGCCGGTGGCTCTCGCCTATAATCCTAGCTACTCAGGAGGCTGAGATATGAGGATCACGGTTCAAAGCCAGCCTGGGAAGGAAAGACAGTAACACTTTTATCTCCAGTAATCCACCAGAAAACCAGAAGTGTCCCCACAGGAGAGACAAAGCCGAATGCTCCCTGACACCACACACAGAAATTAACTCTGATATCTGTAACATACCCTTACAGGAAAATACAGGGCAAGAGCTCCACCATGGAGACTCTGCCAGCAATACAACAGATATGACACCAGAGGCACAAGAAAACAGACGAGTTGGACTCATTAAAAAAAAAAAAGGATTAATTTGTGCATCTGGATGAACCCTCAGCAGGGTAAAAAGGCAACCCATAGGATGGGAGAAAGTATTTGGTTTTTTTGTTTGTTTGTTTGTTTTTTTGGTCCAGTCGTGGGGCCTGAACTCTGGGCCTGGGCGCTGACCCTCAGCTCTTCAGCTCAAGGCGAGCGCTCTACCACTTGAGCCACAGCACCACTTCTGGCTTTTTTCTTTTTGCTTATGTGGTGCTGAGGAATCGAACCCAGGGCCTCAGGCATGCAAAGCAAGCGCTCTACCACTGAGCCAACTTCCCAGCCCCGGGAGAAAGTATTTGTAAATCATGTATTTCATAGAGAATTAAAATATCCAGAACATATAAAGAAAGCTCACCTACAAAAAAAACAAAACCCAAACAACACAATTTAAAAATAGTTAAAAGATTTGAATAACGATTAATCTTATAATTAAAAAGAAATTTTTCGGCCAGGCGCAAATGGCTCATACCTATAATCCTAGCTACTCAGGAGGCTGAGATCTGAGGACCAAAGTTCAAAGCCAGCTTGAGCAGGAAAGTCTGTGAGATTCTTATCTCTAGTGACCCACCAGAAAACCAGAAGTGGAGCTGTGGCTCAAAGTGGTAGAGCACTAGCCTTGAGCAGAAAGCGCTCAGGGATAGAGCCAGGCCCTGAGTTCAAGCCCCATAACCAATCAAAAATAAATAAATAAAGACAAGCCAGGTACGTGGCTCACACCTCTAATCTTAGCTACTCAGGAGGCTGAGATCTGAAGATTGAAGTTGGAAGCTAGCCAAGGCAGGAAAGTTCATAAGACTTACCACCAATTGACCAGCAAAGGCTGAACGTGAAGCTGTGGCTCAAGTGGTAGTATGCTAGAAAACAAGTCCAGTGAAAGCCTAGGCCCTGAGTTCAAGCCCCAGCACAGTGGGGAAAGAAAGAGACAAAGAGAGAGCAGCTGCATTCTGAGAAGAGTGGACACCATGTCTAAAGAAGTAGCTGCAGAGGTGAGGGGATAGGGGCAGAGGTAAGAAGGATAGGGCAGGACCTTTTGGTGCTCCTGACTTGTTACATACCAACAAAGCTGAATTTTAGGAACAAAACCCAGTTCCTACTAAACAAAGATTGTCCTTGGGTCTCTGAGGGATGGGAGAAGAGGTGCTGGAGCTGAGCAGGCACATGCTTAGGAGTCTTGGCCTGTGGAAGGCTCTCCTAGGCCTCTGGGGCAGAGGAAGCCAAAGTACTCTTGGAGGCAGCACCCTGGACAGAGGCAAGCCCAGCTGCTCTTCCCAGAGACTGTTAACTCTTGTCTGCCACCAAGGGCAACAACACAGTAAGGATCAGTTCCTTCCAAGGCTTCAGAGAGGTCAACTGTGGCTAAGTAGCCACCTGGCGAAAAGGCCCCAGAGCAAGTTCATCCCTAGACCTGGGCCGCAGCGGACACAACATGGGAAGAGCAGCTTCCCAGGCAGGAACACAGTCATTCCCACCATGGAGCATCTGGAAACATGCACAGCTGCTACCTGGTGATGCATCTTGTGCCCAGCATGGTGGCTGGTCATCTCACTGCTTTTTTCATAAGAAGCCAAAGATGAGTGGCTTACTTCATTAAACCCTAACTTTCCAGCTGGGGCTGGAGGCTGGGGCCCAAAGAGCATAAGGAACTTGCTAGTAAACAGGTCAGCTGGCATTCAGACTCAGACTCAAGGTATCTGTACTTTACTATCTTCTCATTTCCAATGGACAAGCACCCAAGACTGGCAACTTGAAATCAGAGCCTTCCACTCTCATCAGGCTTTTCTGTTCAAGGCTGGTACTCTAACATTTCAGCCACACCTGTACTTCCAGCATTTCGATAGTTAACTGGAGGTAAGAGTCTCTTGGATTTGCCTGGGCTGTCTTTGAACCTGGATCCTCAAAATCTTAGCCTCCTGAGTAGCTAGAATTACAGATGTGAGGCACTGGCTCACTAAAGGCTTTTTGAACATTCTTTACATGGCAGGCACTGTACCTGACACCTAGCACTAATTACAATGAAAAGATAGAATGCAGCCTGCCAAGTGTCTGGTGAAACAGCCAGATGCAGAGCAAGGAACAAGCAGATGGTTGAAATGGATGCCAAGAAGTCAAAGATCAAGCTAAAAGAGCAGAGAAAACGGATGGCTCAGGTGGTCAGAGGGTGTGCTGAGGTGGGAGGAGAAGCAGCCCATTTTTGCAGAGTGGAGAAATAAACCTGGCTCTGGCATACCCAAGCAGGGAGGGGATTCAAGCCCTGGCCCACACGCAAGTGCCTTGTACCTGGACGATGTAGAGGCAGGGGCAGTACTGTGCCCCACCCCCGATGCTGATCCCAATCAGGTTCTGGGCATCCTTCTGCAGGGTCACCTTCCCAGGCACAGTGGGGATTCCGCTGGAGAGAAAGGCAAGTGGGGCTCAGTTCCTGGAGGAAGAGTGATTGCAGGGGTGGGCCTCCCAACACCAAGGTCAGAGAGCAATCTGTACTGGACCACAGTTCTGGGAGTCATGCAGATGTGGAGTCAAAGCTAGAGCTGCTAGTCTATTGGACATGGGATTCTGGGAGTCACATTCTCTCTATCTTCCTTTGGAAAGTTTTTCCTTCTTTACCCAACTATCCTCCAGCTTGCCTGCCTGCCTGCCTGCCTGCCTGCCTGCCTTTCTTTTCTGGTCATGGGGCTTGAACTGTGGGCCTGGGCCCTGTCCCTGAGCTCTTCAGCTCAAGGTTAGTGCTCTACCATGTTAAGCCACAACACCACTTCTGGTTTTCTGGTGGTTAATTGGAAATAAGAGTCTCAGAGTGCTGAGCGCCGGTGACTCACACCTGTAATCCTAGCTACTCAGGAGGCTGAGATCTGAGGATCATGGTTCAAAGCCAGCCCAGGCAGGAAAGTCAGTGAGACTCTTTTTTTTTTTGGTCAGTTATGAGGCTTGAACTCTGGGCCTGGGCGCTGTCCCTCAGCTCTTCATCTCAAGGCAAGCGCTCTACTGCTTGAGCCACAGGGCCACTTCCAGTTTTCTAGTGGTTTACTGGAGATGAGTCTCACTGTCTTTCCTGAACCGTGATTCTCAGATCTCAGCCTCTTGAGTAGCTAGGATTACAGGCTTGAGCCACCCGACATTCCTCTTGCTTAATCTTTCAACTGTTCTACTCAATTACCTCACTCTTCACTATAATTTAGCATTTACTTATGTGCTGTTGTAAAGACTCACATATTAGTTTATTCACTCATTCAAAAAACAGTGGTTAGTGACCCATAAGCCTAAGAAAGCATGAGACCTAGTCATTGTGCAGAGAATATTTTCTAATGGGCAGACAAATTTAATTCTTGAAAACCTGTCCTACTAATAATCTGCTGCAGAGAGGTATGAGCTCCTCCAGCTTTCAAAACTGGGCTCAAATGCTACCTCCAGGAGCTGGCTCCTGGGCAGAAGTACTGCTCCATCTGCTCTGTCCCTCAGTCAAATGGGATTGGAGCCATCTGTGAGCCCTGGAAGGACAGGGCCACTTTTGCTTCAGTACAACTGGGTCCTCCCAGCTGCGGGGCATGGTGTGTGTGTGTGTGTGTGTTACAACCGTGTGTGTGTGTGTATGTGTGTGTGTGTGTTACAACTGGGTCCTCCCAGCTGCGGGGCAAGGGGTGTGTGTGTGTGTGTCAACCAATTGGAGCCATCTCCCAGCTGCGGGGCAAGGGGTGTGTGTGTGTGTGTGTGTGTGTGTGTGTGTGTGGCTCACACAGCTTCACTTCCAGCTTCTTGGTGATTAACTGGATATGACAGTCTCACAGTTTCCTGCCCAGGCTGGCTTTGAACCACAATCCTCAGATCTCATATCTTCTGAGTAGCTAGGATTACCAGCGTGAGGCACCGGTGCCTGGCTGAAGCAAGGGTTTCACAACTGGGAAGCCCGAGGACATGGGGCTGGGCCTGCTGAACTTGCGGGTCTTGGGGGGAAACCAAAATACTCACAGTTTATCCTCCTCGATGTCATAATCCAAGTCTGCAAACATGGTTCCGAGTGTAGGGATGGGCTGGCCAACCGCCCAGGTCGCCAGGGGAATGGGGAACTGGGGCCAGAAGAGAGAAAGGCACTGGGTGAGGGCCCCGAGCGCCCGGCCGCGCCGCCGGGCTGGGGCCCGCGGTCCGGGGCCTTTCCTCCCCTTCCCTCCCCACCCAGGAGGGCCATCGGCGGGAGGGCCTGCGGGCTCTTACTAGATATAGGGGGGCACTCCCGGCCAGGGCGATGGGCTCCTACCCCAGAGCCCGTCCCACGGGTCTCCAGGCCCTCGAGAGTTGCTCCTGTCGCTCACCGGAAGCGTCGGTCTCACAACCGGGCCCGGGCCAGGCTGGCACCTGAGCCCACCTGCCGTTCCACCTGGCGGCGGCCGCGACTGTGTCGTCACTTCCGGCAGGGAGCGGAAGTCCCGCCTTCCCCACCCGGAGGCCGGCCCCGGTCTCCTCAAATATTGCTTCCTTCCGTGTTCCTGGACTCTCCGAAGCGGGAAGCAGAGCCAGTGTGGGCTCTTCGACGTTACTGTGGGGGAAAAAAACGGAACAAAAGAAAGGTCTAGGCGGGCTGACAGTCCCGAGCCCCGCGCTTTGCCCCGTGGCTAGCGCCATCGTGGGGAGGGCAGGGTTCCTCCCAGCTTCCTTAGCGGCACTCTGGGGACCACTTCGGGCCTGGCGGTTGCCGTGGCAACGAAAGCATCCCCGGGCCGGGTTACCGGGGGCGCAGTGCCGCGGCCACAGACCCCGGGAGCTTCCCTCTCACGTTGTCAAGCCTTGCGCTAGGAAACTGCGTTGACTACTAGAAAGACATGGTCAGGGAGAGCAGAACGGGCTTTTTTTTGGGGGGGGGGATGCCAACATGAGCGGAGAAAGCTGGCGATGGGGGTGCCCGAGGAAGAATATGGCTAAGGAAGTTTGCTTGCAGGTATGAAAACAGGACGATGATGCAAAGGCACAACTCTGAACAACTACTGTTCATTAAAACAGGCCAGGCGCCGGTGGCTCACGCCTGTCATCCTAGCTACTCAGGAGGCTGAAATCTGAGGATCGTGGTTCAAAGCCAGCCTGGGAAGGAAAAGCCCTGAGACTCTTGTCTCCAATAAGCCATCAGAAAACCGGAAGGTGCTGTGGCTCAAGTGATAGAGCTCTTGCTTGGAGCTGAAGAGCTGAGGGACAGCGCCCAGAGTTCAAGCCCCACGACCGACCAAAACAAACAAAAACACAAAAAAAAAAATACAACGAATACTAGGACGGGGATATGTTTTGGTAGAGGGTGGGCAGAGGGGGATTACCTTAATGAAAGAAGGGTGAGTAAACGAAGTCATTATATTCAACAATGTGAAAAATGAACTATGCAACTTGCAGGTAGGGACAGGAGGTGGAAGATGGGAGAGAATGGAGGAAAGCCATGTTGACCAAGAAACACTGTACACATAACCTAACAAGGATTTTTACGACTAAACAAAATGTTTTCAGAAAAAAGAAAAGAAAATAGAACAATGAAACCTGTTGGAGGTGATTTTAAGATAGAGGAGTAAGATAAAGGAGAGAGATGGAAGGGGTAGGCTGATCAGGTTACAGTATATGCCTCTGTGGAAATGTCACCATGAAATCCCCTTGTACAACTCATGTGTATCAATAAAAATTGTTTTGTCATGGGACTTGAACTCAGGGCCTGGATGCTGTCCCCAAGCTCTTTTGCTCAAGGTAGTGCTCTAGCCACAACTCCACTTCTAGTTTTCTGGTGGTTAATTGGAGATAAGAATCTCACTGACTTTCTTACTTGGGCTGGCTTTGAACCACAATCATCAGATCTCTGTCTCCTGAGTAGCTAGGATTACAGGAGTGAGCCACCGGCACCTGGCTAATAATTAAAATTTAAAAACAAAGAGGATAATTGAAATTGGGACTTAGAGTTTATATAATAACGAATTGTGTTAAGCACTGTGGAAACCATATGGCTCTTGCAGAAGGGAGGAGAGTTCTGGGGACATCTTTCCTATATGAGTTACAGATGAAACATGACAGGGAGGGATCTGAAGGGCTGAAGAGGAGAGATGCCTGGCTTGGACAGTGGCAATGGCCTGGGTTTTCTCAGCAGGTGAATGAGGGGTCAGTGGGGTCTCAGACTTCCAGGACACCTTCTTTAAAGATGGTGGGATTCTAGGAAACCTGGGTGAATTCAGTCACTCAGCTCAGATCCTCTCTCTCCTGGGTTGCTGACCTGACTGGGCCATACCACTGAGAGCCGTGTGACCCTAAATAAGTGCCAGTCCCTCTCTGGAACTGACTTGGGTCCCCCTCTGGTTCCCAGGCTCAGAACAGGTCCTTAAGAGATGGTCCCCTCTACACTCTTTCCTAGGATTATGCTGCCACCTGGTGGTCATTAGCAGAAATAGCTCCTGGGGCATCAGAACAGCCAGGACACCAGCAACTGTCACCACCTGCCTCAGGGCTGTCTGTAGCCTGGGCCTCTTCGTAGTTTGTGGAGGATGGATGGTGTTGGGCGCAGGCACACTGGGTGGTGCCCGGCCCTCTGCCCTTTAGCCAGTGCCATCACCACTACAGTCCTCACTCTGGCCCACTGTTTGGCACTGACAGCTGCCATAATGGTCAAAAAGCCAAAGGTGCCAGTGCTGATGGCTCATGCCTGTAATCCTAGCTACTCAAAGAGGCTGAGATCTCAGGACTGGAATTTGAAGCCAGCCCGGGCAGGAAAGTCTGTGAGATTCTCATCTCTAGTTAACGAGCAATAAGCCAGAGGTAGAGCTGTGGCTCACATGGATGAGTGCCAGCCTTGAACATAAAAAAAAGCAACGGGGAAGCCAGGTGCTGGTGACCTGCTCCTATATTCCTAGCTACTCAGGACACTAAGAGCTGAGGATGGCAGTTTGAAGCCAGCCGAGGAAAGTGCCTGAGACTCTCATCCCCAATTAACTACCAAAAATAGCCTAAAGTAGAGGGTGTGGCTCAAGTGGTGTATTAGCTAAGGGGACTCCAAGTGCAAGCCCCAGTACCAGTGCGCATACACACAGACACAGACACACACAAAGCCAGAAGTAGGTTTGACTCACTCATTAATCCATCAGTATAAGTCACCAGAACACAGCGGGCCTCATGATTTCAGAGTCGGGCAGGACAATGGGAAATGGTGACGGGACCTGTAGACGTGGCTGAGAGGGGCTCCACGCCGTGTCCTTGTGGCAAGGGGGGGCAGCACTTCCAAGGGAGGGGGAGGGAGCCAAGGTTATCCACAAATTGGTGCTGCCCCACAAATGATGGTCATGGGGGAGGCCAGGTGAGGGGGATCCAGACTTGGGGGGGGTGCCTCCATTCCAAAACCAGGCCCCCCAGACCTGCCCACCAGGCACAGGACTCTGGCAGAGGAGAGCAGCTACCTGCATATGCCTGGAGCCCAGTGGCTCCCTAGGCAGGCTGTGGGAGGCGGGGGTGGGGGGGAGGGCGGGATGGTGGAGGGGGGGACACAGAGACAACAGGACAGTAGGGGATGGGAAATGCCCCTCCAGCCTAAAGCCACTCAGTAATTCCCAGCTTTGGTGGAGCCCTAGCTGATTCAGCCAGGGTGAGTTGTAGGCCTTCCCATCATCCCCTGAGTGGCTCCATTCCTGGCTCAGCTTGGCTTGCAGTGGGTTGACCTCTGACCCTCCCTGACCCTCTTTGCCCCCCAGCACTCTGCCCTCTGGGTTAGGTCAGTGATGAAAGCAGTAGAGCCAGCGGGGAGGGGAGGAGAGAGACAGTGCTTGATTGTTCCCTGCAACCCCCCCCCCGCCATCGATGGGGAGGGGGGTGGGTCTGTGCGCTCCCCCTCCCCTCCTCCTCCCTCTCCCCCTCCCCTCTTTCAGGCAGTGCAGACTCCAGTGAGAAGATATTGCCTGTGAAGATGCCAGGCCCCACCTCACAGCATCCTTGGAGATTCTGAATCAGAAACCTGGTAGCCTCTTACTTTGAACAGAACTAAGAGCAGAACCAGCATCCTTGAGTGTTGCCCTCTCCAAGGCCGAGTGACCTCCAGTGTGAGATGGGGGTGGAGGTCAGGAAGGCTCTGACACCTGGAGACAGATGTGAAGGCCCTCACCCTCTCTCCTCCACAATCCACGGGGTGAAGGTGTGGCCACCCGAGCTCTGCTGTCCCAGGAGTCCGATCAGCACCTAGACACCCCCACTGGCCTGGACGGGAGTTTCAGGAGGTCGAAGGTCTCTGTTCTACTGCAGGTTCTCCACCATGCCCAGTGCTTAGCTGTTAGCCAAGCTCCCGCAAATTTCCAGACCAAATTTCCACCAGTTATCTTGCTCTATTTTCAGCCCAGCCCAGCCCATGCCACGTCCCTTTCCTTCCCAGCACACATCATCATCACCACACCACCATCATTATGGTTATCTTTATTGTTATTACTGTAATGGGGTTTGAACTCAGAGTTGTGCACTTTCTAGCAATGTTCTCTTCCACTTTGAGCCACAGCCTTGCTCCAATTAGTTTGGAGAGGGTCTCACTTCTTGCCCTAGTGGGCTGGACTGTAATCCTCCTATTTACTCTACCCAATGTAACTGGGATGACAGACATACACCACACGCTCAACTTTTTTGGGGGAGGGGGGTTTGGTCATGGGGGCTTGAACTCAGGGCACTATCTCTGAGCTTTTTATGCTCAAGGCTAGTCCTCTACCACTTTGAGCCACAGCTCCTCTTGGAGAGAAGAGTCTCATGGAGTTTTCTGCCCAGTCTGGCTTTAAATTCCAATCCTCAGATCTCAGCCTCCTGAGCACCTGGCTCACACTCAACTTGTTATTGATTGAGATTAGTGGTGTGTGTCTCAAGACCCTTTTTTTCGGGGGGGGTCCTGTCATGGGGCCTGAACTCTGGGCCTGGGCACTGTCCCTCAGCTCTTCAGCTCAAGGCTAGCGCTCTACCACTTGAGCCACAGCACCACTTCCGGCTTTTTTCTTTTTGCTTATGTGGTGCTGAGGAATCGAACCCAGGGCCTCATGCATGCAAGGCAAGCGCGCTACCACTGAGCCACCTTCCCAGCTCATCAAGACCCTTTTACCTGAGCTGACCATGAATCATGAGAGTCTGGGTCTCAGCTTCCAGAGTAGCTAGGATTACAGACTTGAGCCACCACACCCAGCTCAGTACACCTTATTTTGAAGCAAATTTGGGGGGGTCTCTTTGGTACCTGCAGATGCTTTTTTTTTTGGCCTAAGCTTTGACAGGAGGCCTTGTGAGGGAAAACCTGCGCATGCTCAGAATGCACTGGCCTTAGCACTCACTGCAGGTGCTTGGTGTGTGGTACTGCCTACTACCGTCAAACACAACGCATGCCCACTAAGGACCTCCTAGAAA